TATATATATATATATATATATATATATGGAATTACATATGCAATTAAAACAATAATATTCATTTATTTGATTGCACATGTAGATACATATTCTAAGTATATGTAAATTTGTGTTAATGGTGCTGTGGAGAGCAAATTTGATTGGTAGAGAAATGTTTTTTTCTCTCTCTCTCTCTCTGTATGGTTAAGTGGTGCTGTACTATTCAGTTGAAGTAAAAGTTGAAGCTGTTTAAATGTTGATTTTATAATGCTAGTTCTGCTCTGAATCAATGCATGCCCTTCGGTTACATGTGTGTTTATGGAGCTTACAGATGGATAATTTAATGCACTGAATTTTACATCAAGTGCAGTTTTTTTTAGCTGCATTTGATTTAGAAATCTGACAACCTGAGTTGCATATTAAACACTCTTCAAACAAAACACTTTTCAAAAGATGAGACAGATTTACTGTAGTATAAACGATTACTGTTTATGCTGTGGTGACTTATATTTGCTATTAAATTTCCCCTTTTCATTCATACGTTTGTTTACATTTTCTGTTTTATAGGGATTGCAGTTGTATATCCTTATCTTGTGACTTTGTATTTGATTAATTTTCATCTTACAAATGTATTAAATATTGTTTTTATTATTTGTTATGTTTTCCATTTGCATGTTAATTCTAGTTAGTTTTAGCAGTTATGCTGAATTTTTGTAATTTTATTAGTTTTTTTATGTCTGTAGTACATGATAAGCTTAATGAAAATAAGAAATGTTGCTGAATGTAGCTGAGTTTATTTTTTCATAATTTATTTTATTTTATTTCATTATATATTTATTTAAGTTACAAAAAAGTGTTTTTTATGATCTTAGTTTTAGTGAACTATAATAACCCTGATTAGAGTTAAGGATGAGGATGTTTTCCAGAGCGTTTAAATGGAGAAGCGTCTCTTATCTGTCTTGTTTCTCCGTCTGTGTGTTGCAGTAATGAAGAGCGATTGCAGCAAATCAGGAATCAGCTTCAGCAGGTGAGACCGGCTCCATCCTACGATGACCTGAGCGCCCGAAGACGACCGGAGTACGACCCTTCACGAGTGAGTGCTGTGTGCTGTCTTGCTCTCTTTCTTTCTTTCTTTCTTTATTTTTTTATTTGAATAAATGTTTAGTGTTACATTCTTTTCACTTTTTTATATTTCTGTATAGCTATATTTATTTTATTTTAAGAATTTTAGTACTTAAAACCCTTCACGAGTGAGTGCTGTGTGCTGTCTTGCTCTCTTTCTTTCTTTCTTTCTTTCTTTCTTTCTTTCTCTGCTGTCAGACAGGAAGTGACAGACTGAGGTCTGGCTGCTTTCTCAGGCACTGATTCAAAGCTCAGATTATCGGGGTTCATCTCGCGCTGTGTTTCGGGCCAGATCTAAAGTACTCCGACTAATCTGTTCATCTGCTCAGACTCAGCAGGGATCTGCTCACTGCACAGCACTGTTTTCCTGCTCACTGGAATAATTATTATAATGTGATCATTATAATTCTGGATATTTTTTGGTCTTTAATACTACAAACCTAATGCCATATTTTGTGAGCTACTGTATTGTTTTGTTTTATTACAAAATGGAACATCCTATAACATTTCCACATACAGGAAGTGACATCACTTGCACCCTTTCTACAGCAAGATGGGTAAATAATCCCATTCCATGTACTTTTTTTATTTTATTTTATTTTGACTACATTTGTTAATGCATTTAGCCCTATTACTGGAAGTATTGTAAGATCAAACTAAATTTTTTATTTAATTTATGGTGTTTTTTTTTTCAAACAACATTTGGTTCCAAATTAACTAGTCCCTACTGAGTGACAGCTTAATTTATTATTATTTTTTTTAATAAATG